CTCCCTCATCACGTAAAAAAACAGAAACGTGTGCACTGGCTCAGACACTGGAAACCTGGCTTCATCACATGGTTTTATTTTAAATGCAGTCCAGACAAACTAGAAGTGCCTGTAGCCATGAGAAAGTCCTGCTCCGTCAGGATCCTCTGGTGTTCTCATGTAAATATACAACTGGCTGTCAGCTGATGATGTGTGTGCTGCTGCCAGGATGTCCATTACGTGTCTGTGTTTGGATAGAGTAGATTAAGAAACCCTGATATTTTGCTGTTGTTGCTCTTTTTATAGCGTAGCAGAGCCAGAGCATGTAACTGGATCCAGTGCATAAATCCTTGCACTTATTCGGTCTTAAATGTTCAGGGTTTCTTTCTTGATTTCACTAATGTAAATAAAAGATCTGATGCTTTTCGTTATTCTCTTACACCGCACCAGAAAATGCCAAAGCAGGTAAGAGTAGCAAGAGTTTAAACAAAAGCACCCTATAACTCTTAATTGCCCCTCATTCTCTTTTTTTCCTTTTCCTTGGCTTGTTTTCTCCGCTTCCTCTCTGCTGTTCAGAGCCTCAACCTGAGCCTAAACAGTTCAGTCCTCTGTTGGACTCAGGTACGTACGGATAGCTGAGTGATTCATCTGCATAACACCTGTTGGTGTTTTGTTTTTACGATAATTTTACGGTAAAACATTATGCCAGAGTCAATGTTCCACTGTAAAAAACTAATTTTTCTTTTAACTTCAGTAAAAAAAACTTAATGTCTCCCTAAAATGAGCATTAAAACAGCCTATAAAATGAATGTAAAAACATACAAACTATTGTTTTCTCCAGTTAATTTGTTTTTTCACTTCAAATCAACAGCTTTAAATTGTCTTATAGGATTTTTTTTCTTGTCACAATTTGACTTTTTATCATTGTTAAATATACAAAAAATTTGACAGTGTACTGAGTGGTGAATTTAAACTCACACAGCAGACGTGGGCGACTTTGGAAAACATTTGATCCAACTTTGTTTTAAGATTCTGGTCAAAACTTGGCAAGCAAATCTTCTGACGGGAAGCCGTGAAGTTGAATCCGAACGGAGTGTTTGTACTGAAAACGCAAATTTATGAAACATGTAAAACCTTTTCTACAGAATTTCAGCCTTAATACTGAACTCATCCAGTGTTTTTTCTCATCGTGTCGATCTCCGACAGACATTCGCTGCTATTTGTAATTTTTCTCATTTGTGGAAATCATGCGAGAAAGTTGGACTTGTCTTTTTAAGTCTGCTTATGTAATTTCAGAGAGGAGAGTGAGAAGGGAAAACCAGACCGTTTTCATCTTGTTGTGTCCCTGCTGAATATTCTGAGCAAAAGAAACGCTTCCCAGTCGCTCCAAGAACGAGAAAGGAGGAAAAAAAAAAAACATTTTCCAGCAGAAGTTTCAGTTGCCTGTTAGTTTGAGAGGCCTCGTGTGAGATATTTGGGATTGTGAGTGAGAGAGGAATATCGGGCCTCTTTCCTGTTTTTCAGCTCTCAGACGTCGTCGTCTGTGGTTTCCAAGGCTACCTGGCAGCCAGATGTTTGTCCTCTGGACTCCGATCGTGTTTGTCCTCTGAGCCCAAAACTCAGACGTACTGAAGCATTCCCTGTTAGCTTCCCTGGTTTAAAAATAAATTCATTTTTATTGCACTGACATAATCTCACACTTGATTAAAGACAAAAAAACCCCCAGCAACATTTGACCCGAGTATGTTTGTTCAGTTTAGAAATACATCTATCAGCTTGATAAAATGGCTGTTTTTAACTTTATGAAGTTAAAAATAACGTGTTGGGATCTGGAGTCCATGACTTCATGTTTCTCTCTGGTGGGAATATGATCCGGAGAATTCAACGTTTCAGTGTGTTGACTGTCGTAGGTCAGGGAACGGCTCCAAGAACGTAGCTGCTAATACGTGGAGTCTAGTTGGAGTTTAACTGGAATTGTTTTGTTGTGGTGGGATTAGGATGAGATTGAGTTTTACAGCCTGAGACGCTCCTGGATGAATCTGTGGGAAATCCCGTCGAGCAGACTGCTAAAACATGTGGGCCGGTGAAATCCCAAATGATTCTCCAGACATGAATTCAACCTTCTGCCGTAGAAATGTAACGTCTGCAGGAAATCGAAGAGAGGACCCTGGACAATATGGAGAGAGATTGTGTAGAGGAAAAGGTCAAAGGTTCCTCTGTCCGTACGGTCCAGTCACGTGACGCTTCATGCTACAGCACTTGGTGATGTGAAAAAGTGTTTGATAAAAGCAACTCTTTATTAAATTGAAGATTTATTTATTTTTTTTTTACTTTCATTTAGTATGTCTGTTCTAATTAGATGTTGGATTATATTGTGTTAAATTATGCCACTGAAAATAAAAACTGTTTTTTATTTTTTTGTTTTTTTTCTGGGCTGTAACTAATGATTGTTTCAGTAATTGATTATTCCGTTGACTGTTTTGACGATTAATCGGATAGTGCAGATTTTTTAATTAACCACTTAAGTATTTTTTCTTGGAGTATTAGAAATACATTAAAATATGCGTAAACCTTTCACTGCCTGAAATGCGATAACAGCGTTCCTTCAGCATACGCTTTGTCACTTGAAGGAGGAAATAAAAAATCCTACAATCAGTGTGTGAAACGGTCAATACTCATTATTGAGGACTGATCACTTGATCATGTTTTGGATTAATTGATTATTGGATGGCAGAAGGTGCTCAACAGGAGTTTCTATGTTTGTTTTTTCTTCTTGTTTTTACTGAATTTCAATCCTGTTGAAGCTAAAACTAAACACCGCATAAGATTTGGGTTGAGCACTTCAAAAGGTTTTACCTTAAATGTATATAAATGTTTTGTACAGTTTTGACTCACTCAGTAGATCTTTTTTGCTTTCTTTGGAGTCTGGATACTCCAGTTGACAACGAATCGATTACCAAGTTACTTAATTATTTCAATAATTGATTCATCACGATTAATCCGATGAATCGTTTCAACCCTAACTTTTTTTTTTTCTTTTTTTTTTAAAGTATGGCAGCACTGCGTTTACTTCCGCACAGTGAGGAAGTCAGTTTGGTGTTGCTGCTTAAAAACTCTCATAGTGAGATGTTAAATTTATTCAGTGGGAAAGTTGAGAGGGAAACGTGGTTGAGCAGCTGCAGCCCGGGTCACAGAGCAGCAGTAAATCCAGATCATTCGGTGATGCAGATTTCCTTTTGGGGAGCGGGGGCTCTTCTGACCGCAGCCGTTAAAACGGAGCTGCTGAACTGGAGGGGAGGGATTTTTAAGTTTCAGTCCTTTTTAACAGTTGATCAAGCTGATAACTCAGGATGCGTGTCTGGATGTGTGTGTTCACTGCAGACAGCGGCCACAGCAGCAGCAGCTCTAAGGGGGAGCGTCTGAGCGCCAAGATGAGGTCACTTCCTGGTTCCAATGAGCCCTACGAAGCCAGCAACCCAAAAGAGCTGGGTGAGGAATCTATACAGCTTCCATCTAATTCAGGAAAATACGATGAGCCACTTTGTTTTCCTCAAAGCTTCGGTCGCTCCCTTCATACAGAACACTGTGTGAAACTGTGACATGTCGTTTTAAAGCGATTTCAAGGTTCAGAAAATTCATGATCTCATGGGTGCAGATGCGTCGTACGTGGACCCGCTGGGGCCTCAGATGGACAGACCCAAGACGGGGGCCAAGAAGCCGGTGGATGATGACGACTTTGCAGACGAAGATCTGGGAGACGACCTGCTACCGGAGTAGATCCATGGACTGGTAATGAGGGACCGACCTCCTGATCGGAGACGAGGAAGAAGAAGTTGAAATGTTCTCCAGTGAAGGATCATATTTATCTGCATAAAAAGCAAAAACAAAAGTGAACGGATTAAAAAGAAGCATCTGTTAGCCACACAGTCCGTATATGTGTGAAAAAACCTCTTTATAGATGGAAAGTGACTCAGCAGACTGGATCTAATCCAACTCTTGTCTCAAATTAATTCATATTTATTTTCATTTTTTAGTCTCTTGAGTCATTTTTTAAAATAAACTGTTGTTACTACTCCAGAGAAATCTGAGAGGTGTCTCCTTGAGAGCAAATTTCCCCTAAAACTTAAAGGAAATACTTAAATTAGACCTCTGACCTCACTTTTAGAAGTCAAATCTCTCTTTCTTTCTTGATCTCTTCCTTAGTCTCAGTTTATATGAAATGTCCGTCATTCTATTCAGAATCGGAGTGACAAATGTGATCAGATGTGAGGACTATTCCCGAGATGTTATTCACATCCTGACCTCAGAGATGCACCTGCTGCACTTTAACCTGTTGCCTGTGGATTTGGATCTCTGCTGTCCTTCAGATACCGGGATTGAAAACAGACAAAGTTTCTTGGGTGCAAATGTGCAACTACATGGCATGGAAGTAATTTTATGATTTCCATGCCATGGAAGTCATAAATGAGATGTAGATCATTTCCTACATCTCTGCTTTTAGGTTTTTTAGGTTTAAATATATTCATTCAAGGATCAGTATTGTGTGTTTTCCAGGCACATGGTACCATTTTATAGCACAATCAAATTCTGTTATAAAAAACCCAAACAGCTCTATATATCGAATATGGCTTAATAGAAATTTGACTTCCTAATTGAACGCCTTGAAATTGGGCTGCTGTCACTTTAAGAAACTCCTGCTCTTTCTGAAACTCCGCCTTCAGGAAGTCATTGGAGCCGAGTGGAGGAGGCTGCAGCTCTGAGGAGGAGCTTTGTCTTCGAAGGCGGAGCTAGGTCCAACCAGGCGTTTTATGTAGTTGAATGGTTGCCATGGAGATTCAAGGACTTCTCAAACATGCATGAAAGAATCAAAGCAACACTCCAGGTGTTTTTTGATGAGGGAATAACATCATGACATGATGTAGAGCTATAAAAAAAGAAGTAAACTTTACATAATGCCCCTTTAAATAAAAAGTTATGAAATTTCACAAAACTGCCAATTAAACTGACTTTTAAGTAAAATATAAAGAAAAGGGTTTAAACTGGTTTATTAAAACCCCAGATTAGTCTGGATTAAACTGCCTCAAAACGTGTTTGGCTTGATTAAGTCAGACGGATCCCAGTTTCTCCCGGCCGGACCTGAACAGGGAGCGGGATCAGGAATCCCAGCCTGCATCAGCTGCTCTCATGGTCGCTGGAATATTTTTATTTTACAGCCACAGGCCGGTGTTTGAGGAGGGGGATCGCTTTTCCTGTCATCGCCTCAGTTTGATTTAGATGTCCGTGGAATGGCGCAGCGCATCGCTCTGTGCGCCCAGCGGGCTTTGTGCACGCAGCTGGGAATAGGAAATCGCTTTTTTTTTGTGTGTGTGACGTTTTAAACAGAAATGAGAAGATCTAAAACAATAGTCGGTATTTTATCCTTTTTGTGACGAGTGTTAATCCTGGCGGCGCTGTGGATGTGATGAGCCAAAATGTTTCTGCAGTTTTCCTGGCAGCGCGCCTGTGGCTCGGTTTGTTTGTCTGCTCCAGACTGCAGGGCGCACCGATCCTCCAAATGACTTCTGGGAATAAAGCGTCTTAAAAAAAAAAGAAAAAGAACTTCCTACTGCTATCTGATCAGAAAGAAGAGGAACAACGACGAAGTGGTCTAAGCTGTGCGCTACGTGGCACAACAAAACGCAGCCATGCGGTGTCGGATCTGCGTCCTGATTCTGCTGCTGCTGCTGCTGCTGGTTCTGGTGCCAGCCTGGCTGGCAGAGACGGCACGGGTTCGGAAGAAAACCACCAGAACCCGGCCTTGTCTGGACCTGCCGGAGGAGATTTTGGAGCAGATGTTCGGGCGGCTCTCGGTGGGAGTGATGAGCGCCTTCCACCACGCTCTGCAGCTGGAGCCCCGGGACAAACTCAACCTCACCTGCCCGACCGCGACACCGAGCCCGGCCGACACCAAGACCCGCCTCCCGGTCAACCTGCGGAGCATCTCCCCCTGGGCCTACAGGTAGGAGCAGCCGCGGCGGAGAAAGGGATTTTATTTTAATTTTTATTAACTATTACTGTAGTTGCCTGTTCTTATTTCAAAACAGTTTTTTAAAAAATAGGAGTGAATAACTGGAAACATTTTGTTCTTTTATTAAACGTCAGAAGAAGTCTATTTAGGACACTTTGCAGAAACATCTGGTTTAAATCCGGTCCCAAACAATCAGTCTGTAAATCACAGTTTACTGTGTTTTCATCCCAGTGAAGAGGAGAGGAGTCCAGGCTGATCCTAATAAAAGCGCAAATGACAAACAATCCGGTTTAAGGCAATTAAGTGAGAAGTATCTGAAACCAGCAGATTGCATTGGTTTTTCACTTCAGTGTAAATGTTTTGCAAGCATGAGGTGAGAGAAATGACTTCCCTTTGACCTGAACAAACCTGGAGATACAATACATGACCTCCATCCTCTCAAATTTATACTTTTTTTTCTTGTGTTTTGTGTCATGATCCGTGTTTCTGTGTGTTTATTTTTGAGTTTTTCTGTGTGGTCCTGTTTCCTGTGTCTCTGTCTCTGCGTCTTCCCCGTTGATTGTTTCCCAGGTGTGTCTCGTTCCTTTGATTACCCCTGTGTGTATTTAGTCCCACCTGTTGTCTGTGTTCTTTGTCGGGTCCTTGCCTAACGTACGTCGCAGTCAGTTCTGTCTGTTAGTTCGTCTGCCGGCACAGTCGTACTGTTAAGTCCTGTGTTGGCATCTACTCGTTTAGTCAGTCTTGTATTCAGTTGCTACCTGCATTTAGCTGTGCGCTAGTTTCTCTGCCGTGCTGCCTGTCTTGGACTGCTCTGAGCATTTTTGTTATTAAATTCATCATCATCTTCACCATAACCTAGGTCTCTACGTCAATCCTCACCACCACCACCCACAACCAACCCTGACATTCTGAGCTTTTATATTATGTTTTCTTTGCTTTTTTTGTTATATCATGTTTTTTTTTTCTTTTTATAAAAATCTTCACTTCCTATTTCCATTTTGAAATAGCCTACTATGTGTGTGTCTGGTGCTTGATTTGCCTTTTATGACCGCTAAATCTGTGGAGGATCAACAAGCACTAAAGTTTAAATGCAATCCAGAAGGTTGTGAATCAGTGAAACACCTCCAGTAAAAAAACAAAAAGATGCATAATTTGATGAGTTGGGTAGTAACTAATTACATTTACTCAGTTATATTTACTTTGGGAGTAGTTTTCCTTTGCTGTACTTTTACTTGAGTAACAGTATAATGAAGTATCGTTACTTGAGTAAAGTTTCTGGATTCTCTCCACACTCTGAGTCGCTTCTCTGAATGAAGAACAAGCTTGTTTTAGCCAGAAATTCATCAGACACACATCTGCAGTTTCTGTTAAAAGTTTCATAAGTTTTATATCAAAACAAATTGATTTCAACAGTTTTAAAAATATCAAATGGTTGGTGGTTTGATCAAATACTCTTTTTTTTTTTACTCTTACTTGAGTAATTTCTTGGATGCCAACTTTTCACCTTTACTTGAGCACAAATATGCTGAAGTATTTCTACTTTAAATGTACTTGAGTAAATGTTTTGGGTTCTCTACCCACCTTTGCATGTTATAAATTACAATTTACAATTTCAGACTAAAACAAAACTTGGCTTACAGTTACTTAAGCCTTGTGCTGGATCTGTTTCCCAGGATCTCGTACGACCCGAACAGATACCCCCGCTACATCCCGGAGGCCTACTGCCTGTGTAAGGGCTGCCTGGTCGGGCCGTACGGAGGGCAGAGCCAGCAGTACCGCAGCGCCCCGGTCTTCGCTCCCTCCGTCATCCTGCGGAGAACCGGCTCCTGTGTTGGCGGACGCCACTCCTACACCGAGATCTACGTGTCCGTGGCCGTGGGTTGCACCTGCGTGCCGCTGATGGAGAAGGAGCGAGACGGCCAGAGCAGCAACAAGAGCGTGGAGGGAGGAAAGCCCAAAACCAGACAGATGTTCTCTACTGGGAAGAAGTCCTGAAGGAGACGGGGGCCTTTGACTGACAGACAGACAGCTTTGGTTAAAAAGAGCTGAATTTGAACAATTGGACTCGAAATTTATACACCCAGGAAGACTTTATTTATAAATTCAAGAAACAACTGGATGTAAGTGCTTGCAACAGATTTTAATTTGGAGTAATTACAGTAAAACATTAAAAAAAGAAAGATATATATATTTAGGATTTTTTTCTTTTTGCATAGAGCTATGTCTGAATTTTGTTTTGCATGTCCCAATTTCGCAAAAATCCACCAATCTATCGAACGTCTTCTCCTTAATCTGGGTCTCCTTCCGGTTTGACATGATTTCCCCGACCGATACTGCCATCCACTGGTGGGAAAAGAAACTACAGTTCAGTTACCGAGTTTTATTTAACTGGATTTAACACACCAAGGTTTTATTCAAACGTCCTAGCATTACAAGATAATATTGGTTCCTTCAGTTTGTTGTCTTTCTCAACCTCTTAAACCAAACTTTAAGAGGCTTAATTTAATAACTCATGCCCACGACTTGATGACTGGTGGGAATAAACTTAATTACAAGTCGTGGCCACAAGTTTTTTTTTCTCCCGTGTCTCCCATTTGTTGGGTTCCCTCCTCTACTCTGATACTAATAATATAAAACCCTTTGGAAACCAAGAAGCCGCGGACCCCTGCTGTTAAAACATGATCCTGGTAAACCACCGTCTTCCACTTTTTATCACGCAGCAAAGTTTGTATAAAGCTCAGTCGTCATTTTATTAGGGAAGCGATTCAATTTGATTCCAGTTTTCGATTAAGAAGCCAGTTTCTACTTTATGGTCTAGAGTTTCTGTTTGAATTATGGGACTGACAAGAGGGTAAAAAATTAAAAACAATTTAAACTTTAAAACAATTCTATATGGTTCCACACTATTCTGTTTGAACAAAAATAGGCTTGTGCATAATATTATTTAACTTAATTACTAAGTTAGCTTAGCTGTTTTGGTTTTTCCTAAATCATAAAAAAGAATTATTCAAAATATATTTTTACAAAAAAAAAAAAAGACACTAAAATTGTGAGCATTTTGAACAGAATCAATTTCTTCCTTCACCCCACATTTGTTTAGAGTAGTTCATTCTTCAGCTCAAACATCCAGTTATGTTTTAAACTCATATTTATCCAGTCACACAAAACTTCATACCAATGCTGAATTAATGCATAATGGGGAATTTTTTTATTTCAACTGAACTATTGTTTCTTTACTATCAGATATAAAGTGTTGACTACTGGAAATGTTTATTTCTGATATTTGTGAAAGACAACTCAAATGAAAAGCTACTAGAGCTCAGGTTCAGTCACGTGATTCAGGTATGATTTGCAACTTTTCAGCACCGGTTTAATGGAGAAAACAAATGTGTTGAATGTGAAAATGTCTGATTTCCCTTTTTGAGGCAGATCCACTGAGACACGAGAGCAGAAAAAGCCACTCTCGCTTTGATGTAACGAATGAAAAATGCATAATAAAAGTTGAAAACACTTCGTGGGTTTTGCTAAAATAATATCTTTAAAAAAAACAACTCAGTATTGTCTAGTCTAATGACAGTAGCAGATTGTGATTCTGTTAACTGATTTCATGGCAAATTAAATTGTCCACTTCCTCTTCCTCCCTGCTGTCCTGAGTGCCGTCTTTAAGCTCTTCCTCCTGGAAACAGCGGGTGTCCAGGGTTCCCGCTTCCTCAGCTGCACAGCAGGTCCGAAGGATAGTTGACGAAACATCGGAACTCGTTGGACAAGTTCCTGTTGTGTTTGGGCAAAAAGCCGCACATTTTTACCCCCAGCAGTTCTTTGGCAACATTCTCCATGATGGCTCCTACAGAGGCAAAACCAGAAGACGTTGATTTAAAACATTAGTGTGCTACAGATTTCCCCTCCTATCATCTCCTCTTGTTCTCACCTGTGCACAGCAGCACTTTGCCTTTGCTCAGGTACTGGATGGTTTGGGCCACTTTGGTCAGACACTCCTCAGATAAGTAAGGCGGGTCGGCGAGGACGATGTCGAAGCTCCGCGGCGCCACGCCGGAGGGGAGGGACAGCGGCTCGTTGTAGTCGTAGAAGACGAAGTCGTCGGCATAGGCGGCGAAGCGGCGGTCGTACTCCAGCACGACAGCAGACACCCTGTCGGAGCCGTCCACCACGCCCTGCTTCAGCTTCTGGTAGACGCTGGGCGCGCTCACACACGCTATCCTGACAAGGGAAGCAAAGAAGAATGAAAAACACACCTGATCAAATCAGGGGATCATTTGCATTACTCTACTTTACAAATCTGCCCAACTGAGCACTAATGCAGTCCGTCATAATCCGCATCCTTAAAATGTCTTCATTTAAAAAATGAAGTTGACCTTAAATAAGTTAATCCAATGTCTTTTGTTGTAGCAGGACTATTAACTCTTGTATAGGTAGTTTTTATTTGTGACTTTTCTGTCAGGCAAATGTTTGAGCCTTAAACATCTTCACTGTAATTTGTGACTCAAGGAGGCCGAGGCTACCGCTAACTAGCTGCTAATAAACTCTTGCTAGCTAGCAAACTTTTTTGCGTGAGTGTAACTCATCACCAGTTAGCCAGACCATGAATTACTATTCGCTTACTACTATAAAAAAAATGCAATTTTCTTTTGTAAGTATATGTTGTGATACAGGTCTTAAATTTAATTCCTGGTGGTCTTAAAACGTCTTAAATTTGAGTTGGTGAACCCTTATGTTTTTCAGGAATAATTCAGGAGGGATACTGATTTATTCCTAACTATTGCCAAAAAAGAAAAACACGAACTTCTATAAGAGGTGCTGCCATCTGCAGCATTACCTCGGTATTACATCCATGTGTGTCTCATGCTCAACAATGTGCGCGTTTACCTGCCGCCCTCTCCGGCTTGCCGTACCGCCTCCTCCGCCAGCACCGCTGCTGTCTCGTCACTGTACCAGAACTGACTCATCCGCTGGCGAACAGGACCAGACAAGTAAACCGGTGTCAGTGCAGGTTAAAACTATCTCCATATATTATGTGTTTGGCTCTACGTTTCTCATTTCTTCCTTCTACCATTTTGCCCGGAAAATCCCAACATGAAATTCAGTAGATATAAAGAGTTTACACATCTTTAAAATGTACGACGGAGTATTAGAGCCACGCTTAGAAAGTGGGGAGCAGCTTTTCCTCCACTCAGCACGATGCACCAGGCTGAGGAACAGTTTCTGCCCTTCAGCCGTCAGACTGATGATATATCACTTAAATTACTTTATTGTTTATTTATTTGTATTGATTTATTTTCTATTGTGGTGGATTTCTTGATCTGGGACCTGAGTCCAAATTTCGTACCACATGCCAGCTAGGTGGCATGACAATAAAAAATCCTTGAATTTCGGTAAAATTCTTATGGAAACGGGCTAATCCTGGTCAACAGCAGCCGGACTGTCTGCTGGATTATTCATATGTCTGGACTAAGAAGTGGGATTGTAGAGACTTCTGGTTTTTCCTCTAAATTAAACATTTCAATTTGGATGAAATCTTCCAAATTCTTGGTGTGAACCATGTTTTTTTTTTCTTTTCTTTCTGGCAACCAAACAACACTGGGGATCAGCATATGAAAACCGCAGCCTCAGTAAAATCTGTTTGTTTTTTTAATTCTCCAGGACTTACATAAACGGGAATTTCTTAGAAAAAAAAAAAGATTAACAGAAGTCTCTCATTTTTACGTCACAAAATCCTGACAGTTTGGCAATGGAGTGCGTTCGGTTCAGCCCGCTGGAGCTCACCCAGTCCTCCTCCACGGCTCCCACGGCGAACGGGTCAGACGGCGTCCCGTCTTGATCAGGACCGGTTCGGGTCTCGTTGTAGAACTCCTGCAGGGCAGCCAGAGTGTGAGCGGACAGGGTGGGAACGTCGTCGTCACTGTCGCTCATGGCTGAGTGAGCAGAGGAAGATCAGCTGGAGGGAAAACCTTTGGGCAGGATAAGAAGATGAATCTGTGTAGGAACTGAAAACCTGAAACGTGAGAGGAAGAAAAATATTTATTTAAATATGGTTATAATGATATTTGTCATGTGTAAAGTCCTGCTGAGATTTTGTGAGGCCTTCTCGCTGCCTTTTATAAAACTGGTTGAGGTTTTTCCACAAACCTTCAAAATAAAATAGTCTCTACCATAAATTTGGTCATACCTTTACTCGGATAATATTAATTTGCAGTACTGCTTTTTTATCCACTACTACAGTACTCTCTTAACTGAGTAATATTTCTGGACGCTCAACCCACTGTGAGTGACTTCACTGAATGAGGAACAAACCTACAGTTTATGACAAAGTGAGACCTCTTGTTCATACACAACCTTTGTTTTAATGTTTTCTATTTGCTGAGCCTTTCGAGGCCAAGAAGTAATACATTGTCGCTGAAAGTACTTTACATATCTACAGTAGTTTCATAAGTTGCATAATAAAATAAGATTTGTTAAAGTGTTTCTTGTGCCTAATTTTGCAATTATTTGTATTATTTTCTTCGTTTTTGTCTTTAAAATACCAGAATCGGCACATAACTTTACATATGTCGTCTGACTGATAACATCATTTCTAAATATTACATCAGATGTTAATTACGTACTTTTTTTTAAAACTCTCGAGTAATTTCTAGGTCGGCTTTACTTTTACTTGAGTAAAAATACGTTTAAGTAGTGTTGCTCTTACTTGGGTACAGTGTTCTCCACCTTCCTCAACACCAGATTGTTGTGATCAGAGCCGCAGAAAAATGATTTGATCCCGGAAGAAAGAGCGCTGAATAAAATGTTGCATTTTCGTTAGCAGACCGGAACACCGTGACTTTTTAGTCTCCTCAGATAAACATACCTGATTAGGAACTCTTCTTTGCTACTGCTGCCGTCAACATGTGAGCTGTCGCTGGGAGATGACGCAGCTGAGAAACTACGGCTACCGCAGAGGGTCAAACTAGTCTATTTATTAGTGATGGGCAGATGCATAGACATAATACAGGTCCTTCTCAAAAAATTAGCATAATGTGATAAAGTTCATTATTTTCCATAATGTAATGATAAAAATTAAACTGTCATATTTTAGATTCATTGCACACCAACTGAAATATTTCTGGTCTTTTATTGTTTTAATACAGATAATTTTGGCATACAGCTCATGAAAACCCAACATACCCGTCTCAAAAAATTAGCATATTTCATCCAACCAATAAAAGAAATGTGTTTTAATACCAAAAAAGTTAACCTTCAAATAATTATGTTAAGTTATGCATTCCATACTTGGTCAGGAATCCTTTTGCAGCCTTCAATGCGGTGTGGCATGGAGGCAATCAGCCTGTGGTGTTAGGGTTAGGGTCTATAGGTCTTCTGTTGTATTCTAAGCAAATATTGGATAAAAACATCTCAACACTCTAGAACAGAATATGCCTCCATGTTAACATGAAAAAAAAATCAATTTCATATCTCCACATTACAGGAAAGCATGAAAGAGTTAAAAATCAGATTTGATTAAAGAGGAAATAATTATTTTATAATTTTGATAAAACTGTTAAGTAGCTGCTTGTTGAATCAGGAAGTAACTTAATTTCACTACAACCATTTTGATTTACAGAGAACCAGTCCACAATTAAACAATACTTATTCCTTGCTATGCTAACTAGCCTTAGCAACTGAGCTGTTGCCAAATGATTGACAGCACTAAGACCCGCCTTCTGGCTCCAATTGGTTGTTTCTAGTTTTTAGATGATCCCTCTCATTCCACATTGTCACATGTTGACTGTTTCAACAAATATGTAAAAAAAATGTTTTACAAAAGTCACATACTGCACATTTATGGTGAAGGCCAAACCCCTGAGAACCTGTTTGGACTTTATCATCTCTTTAATTACAGTCAGATTAAAAATAAATAAATACCACAGACAGCACTCTGAAAAATACCAGAGACCGGAAGGTTTTTATACAATAACTTTATGTACACTTTTACACTTCATTAACAAAACAGCCATCTACAATAACTGGGATAGTGCTCTTCAGGAAGAGGATTCTGTCTCCAACATAATGCTTCCATCAAGTGGCTCTGCTCCTTTTTTATTTGGTAAGTTATTGCTGTCCTTCACTTCCAACAGTCTCTGCTATAATCCAGTGTTTGAGTCGTCGTCCTATGAATGTGCTGCTGTAGAAAAATAACCTGCTGCGCCTGGCGGGACCTGGGCCTTCGTCTCGAGTGGAGGCAGCGGATGCTAAAAGGTCAACAGGAATCCAAATAGAAAAACCCCCATCAAACGGTCAACATGGCCGAAGTTGCTCCCTCTTTAGCTGAACCTGTACAACCTGCCGTCTCCTACTGGCATATAAAAACATTTCAGTCGTCTGGATTCTTTAATTGAACATGTCCCCAAGAGTTCCTGGTTGAAAACATCATACATTTATAAGTTTACTGCATATATGTGTGTGTATATATATATATATATATATATCTGTTTATTTATATATATATATATGTATACATACACACACACACAGCCTCTTTATTTTGGTTTTCTGTGGTCGCCGACAAGCAGACGCTCCCTTGTGCTGTGTGGATCAGCGTTCTCAAAAGACAAGGCGAGGCCCGGCCACACATCTGTTGTCACGGCGACACATTTTTTTTGTTGTTTTTTTTCTTGTGCATGCAATTCATGACTGGAGGTGCTGTACTCTTGGCAGAAGGTAGGCACAGTCTGTAGAGTTTGACTCGATGTATGACATGATCCATTCATACACACATCCAACAATCAAGAAAAAACAAAGGCACTCTGGGAAGGACTGGGGTACGTGTGTGTGTGTGTATGTGTGTGTGTGTGCGCGCGCGCTGCAACGCTGCACTAAAAAAAATGTTACATCACATCCACAATCGAATTAATGGCATCAGGTCTCACCCTTAGTGAGTGTGTGTGTGTGTGTGTATGTGTGTGTGTGTACATTCCTTAGAAGGAGTCCGTCTGCTCTGCAGTCCGGTTTTTAAGATGTCACTTCATCAAAAACTCTCTCGGCGCCGCAGGTGTCGTCATACAGAGGGGTAGAAACAAAGCAAGTAAAAAGAAACATTCAGCTGAGTGGAGGATCCTGGGAGGCGGACGGATCCTGCTGAGCGTAGTGGGATGCAGAGGGGAGGGGGTGCGGGGCACGGAGGGCGTCTTCAGAATGATGGGAGTATTCGGGGATTGGTTCCCAGTGGTTACTTCACGCAGAGGAGGCCGCCCACGTTGGCCACGAACTCCTCCAGGCTCTTCAGGAAGGCCACCTTCTGCTTGCGGTCCATGGTGGGCGGCGTGCTGCTGGCCGTCAGCTTGTTGAAGGCGTCGGCCAGCCGCTGGTAGATCACGGCGTCCCTCTGGGAGGAGAGCAGGGTCTCCACCAGCTCCGAGTACTCCGCCTGAAACCAGGAGCGGCAGAGTGGAGGAGCCAGGAAGGAGAAATCAGGGTTTCTGCAGGTTTCATCTGCTCACATTTAAGGCTGTTTAAGAATTATATTAAAATAAAATTTTTTATCTTGCTGGCTCCAAACTTTTTTTTTTTTTTTTTTTTTTTTGGTGGCTTGTACAGGTTAGCATCAGACGTGATGAAGCTAGCTAGCCAGAAAGAGTTTGTTAGCAGCTAGTTAGCGGTAGCCTCACCCGTCTCAGAACATAATCATGATGTCTGCGGCGACTCAAACTTTTACCTGACAGAAAATTCCCACCAGAAAAAATAAATCACGTAGCACAGTCAGGTCACAACAAAATGTCAGACTGTGATTAATGTATTTAAGACCAACTTACATTTTTAAAGCTGAATTTAAGACATTTGGATATTTTTGAAGGATCTGTTGACGACCTGGGAATATTTTTGAACAAATGTCTCACAGTTTAAACCAAACTTTTTCCAGTTATAACAAGGTAAAATAAAGTTTTAAACTTAAATGCACAAAGTCAAAAGCGAAATAACAAGCTGTGCCTGATTATTCAGCTTTGCTGCGTTTATTTGACCCTAATAAAAATCTTTATGGTGGAAATTACAGCCAGACTTTATTGGTTCACTTGCTTGGTACAACAAACGTCTGCATATTGTGGAAAACACAAAGTTATGAAGTAAGCAAAGTGTAAATGTAAATATTTTGTCAATATTGATCTAAATTCCAACAGAAAACCAATAAATGACGTTCTGAATAAACATGGAGTCTGACGCGTCAACGACTCAAACAATCTGTTGCCTTTAACAGATTGTTTGAAAACACCAGCAGCCTCGTCGCCGTTCTGTGACGTTTCCTCACCTGATGCAGGCAGACGAGTGTGTAGAGAGCTTCCCCTGCCGCCACCGTCATCTCTGTGTTGTGTTTCTGCAGCACCAGCATGTCAAACACCAACTGCAGGCAGGAAACACGACATTCATCATCATAACGCTCATTAAATTTCCACAAACGCGACTCGCACCAAAGCAAAAATGTCTGGATGAAGCAAAATTCAAAAAGTAAAGTATTGTTTAAAAAAAAAAAAAAAAACTCATTAAGCCGTATTACTTTAAGCAGAGACCGTCCAACATGTGCACAGTAAACATGCAAACTGTTTATTTTGAAATGGGACTTCCTGCCCAAGCAGTTCAAACTCAGCTCCAAGTTTGACCTGTTGGAGTTGCTGTAGAGGTTTTGAGGTTACAATGTAGCATTTACCAGGAAAAATGTTACTTTAAGTTCAGTATCTACTTGTTATTTCACCAGTGACATTAACACTTCCCATAGTCAGCCTAGCAGGCCCACGCTAGCCTTTAGTAGCGTTTCCTCTGACACGGCAGCCATGTTGCGTCTCCTACCTTGAGGAAGTGGCGCGTGGCGATGAAGAGGGGCGAGTCCTTCTCCTGGTTTTTGGCGCACTGTTCGGCCAGAGGAGACAGAGCCTCCAGACACAGCTGGCTGACTTCTGAACTCATCCTACAGGGGGCGTTAAGGAGCTTCACCTGCTGACCGACTCACCTGCTCTAAACACTTTCCTGGAAAAGAGCTTTGGTTATTTTTTTGGGTGTGAAATTTATTCTAGATGTCGTAAAAGACAAGAAGTTAAAAGTGGGTGCAAAGAGGCTCAGAGGATACGAGGTCATTCCCAGCTCCAGTGAAAACATGAGGCTCTTAAAAAGGTCTTCAGGCAGCTGGGGGATCTTTTCTGGAAAGATCTCACAGATGAAGGTGATGAGCTTGTAGTACTGGTTACACAGAGAAGGAAACTGCAGGAAAAAGAAAAGAGAGATGAGACATCGTCAGAATGAGATCTCAGAAGCCACCGTGTCTCCGTGTGGCGGCCATGTTGGCTCCTTTCACCTTCAGCAGGTCCTGAGACATGAGTGGAAGAACAATGTTGACGCCGTAGAGGACGACGTCCGCCGCGGAGACGGTCCGGCTCGACGCCGGCGTGCCCTGCTCCTGGTTTCGGAACACCTCATCTGGGAACACAGATGGTGGCGAGGTTTGAGGCGGAGCGTCGGCGGAGAGGCCCGACCCGCCGACGCTCGGAGGACAGGAGGACTCACCGTTGTCGCTGAAGTCGATGAACTCCTTGGAGAGCAGGTTGGTGAGCAGCTCCATGATGAGCAGCAGGTCCTGGTACTGGTCCTCCTCGGCCGTGGCGTCGCTGCGCTTCCTGCTCTGGTTGTTTTTGGAGTAGACCTGCAGCAGCGTCAGGCAGGCTTCGTACAGCTTCATGGACTTAGTCTGAGGAAACAGAAGCGATATTCTGTGGGTCTGGCTCTGTTTTCCTTTAGATTTCCTTCCTCACAGCCAACGCTGGAGACATAACAGACATAACATGATCTGTGGTGTCGGGCCTCACCTCCCCCAGGTAGCAG